TGACACAACCGATTCCCATTTGTGGACAGGAAATTTTGCAGATTCAAATATGTGTGTCGCCTGTTCCTTGAATACGTTCAACTTGTCAACGTCGCTTGCGGTTTGCATGAGATTATCAACGTAGGTGTTCTCTCACAGAGCTTGAACGGTGTTTCTTACGGCATCAGGTTGCTGATCAAGGTGGTAGTTGATTGTGCCTCCTAGCAAGAACGGACTTGCTTCTGCACCAAAGGGGACTCGGGTAAACCGGAAATGCTTCTCTTTACCATTGACATTGAAAAGAAATCTAAAAGCATCTACAATCTTATGCAAAATTAACGAGACACTACATACTCTCGCACCCTGTTTCAATGTTGGGTAGTGATGGTTTTCACTATTCGAGGTGTTAGTCTTCATTAACTGTTAAAATACAACATTGAGATAGGGGGAAGGGGGATCAACATTGAAAACTCATGGTGGCACATATTATATTGCATGGGATTGTCTATAGTATAGTAATAAAGGCGTGCCAGCACATTAACGCACTATGTCAAGTATGTGATGAAAGTTATGACGCGTTGCAGTTCCAGCTAGAATTAGCGAGAAATGGGGAACAAGCGCAAGTCAAAATACACTAAAAAATTATGTAATGAACTAAAAAAGGAGAGGACAAAATACTTATAAGCCAGTGGTGCAAAAAGCCCAAACATAATGTTCACCAAACGTTTCACAGAGACAAAGGCAGACAAAACAAAACAGCTGAGTAAAGTGCAAGGATCCGGATGGCTATTGACTCTAAGACAAGAGCTTTGGTGTTTTATTTGGCCAAAATGAAAGGACTTTCCATCAGAAAAGTAGCAAAAGTATGCAACGTTTCAAGAGCAGCCGTATGGAGGATTAGCAAAATGGGTATGAACGACCAGAAATGTGATAAAACACCAAAAGAAACCAGGGGAAGACCACGGAAATTAAATGCGCGCCAGGAAAGAAAACTTCGGCGCTCCATTCAAACATTAAGACAGCGAGAGGGGAACTTCACAATCAAGAGACTAATGGAAAACTCTTGCATTTCCCAAAATGATGTCTCGGAGAGTACGATTTCTCGATTTCTGAATAGAGAGGGTTATTACTACCTACAAGCTCGTAAAAAGGGACTTTTAACAACAGCAGACATGAAGAAACATAGAGTTTTTGCACACAGAATGAGAAACGAGTTTTCGGATGATATTTGGACAAAAACCATCGCATTTTATCTAGATGGCACGGGGTTTACCTATAAAAGAAATCCTTTGGATCAAGCTTTGTGTCCTAGAGCAAGAGTGTGGCGTAAAAAGAGTGAAGGACTAATGCAAGGATGCACCACAAAAGGGAGCAAAACGGGCACTGGGGGACGAGTGGTGAAGCTTATGGTAGCTATCAGTTTCGCCAAAGGTGTGATCATATGCGAACCTTATGAGAAAATGAATGGCAGTTATTTTGCGACGTTTATTGACGAGAACTTCGAAACGATGTTTTCAATGGCAGATAAAGGGCCAAGACGACTGTGGATACAGGACGGAGACCCAAGTCAAAATTCAGCGATGGCTCGCGCAGCCATGCAACGTGCGAACTGTGAACTTCTAAAAATCCCTCCAAGAAGCCCTGATCTCAACCCAATTGAAAATATTTTTAAATTAGTTTCAGATAGGTTGCGTGAACAAGCAATCAAATGCAAAATCACGAAGGAAACCTTCGAGGAATTCCAACTTAGATTGATATCTACAGTTAAATCTATTCCCGTAGACATAATAAACAATACAATAGCGTCAATGCCGAATCGCTTGGCAGAAATTATTAAAAAAAAAGGACAACGTTTGAAATATTAGATTCTAGAACTTAAGCTTACAAATACTCTTGTGACTTAAATCATTAATATTTACAAAAAGCCGATATTACTGCATATGATTATTATATACAATGTCCATGCATTGCAAGGACGAGGGCAAGGTAACATTATACGCATGAGAGAATATAGACCGAATGTCCTTTATATATGTTTAAACCGTGGTAAATGTAACATAGGAGTGACAACATCGACTAATGTACATATATCATATGTTTGTAAAACGATTGACAGTGTATTATTGCCGATTCTATGCATCAATAAGCTACATTGATTTATGATTGGAACGTTATTTAATGATTAACGAGTTACCAAGACGGTTCACCATTTAAAAATTTCCAAAATGAAACAGTTCAAATGCACCAGAGCAACATTAATAGTGCAACATTTCAAGTATTCACTATCATACACCGGTTCATTTCCTTTTTCATAAAAAAAAGTACGAAATGACGGAGATTGAGGTACTGTACAACGGTGACCCGTTGTTCTGAAAGTAGAATGACATCATCATTCTATTTCAGTTTACAACGAGTCACCATGGTGGTCCGTTCTTTTTAGGTCTTTTAAAATGCACCAGAGAATTAAAAAGCCTACTGTATATTGAATGACATAATAGTCGTTTATCACAAAAAGAAACGCAAGTTAAAGATGCCAATAAAAGCATGAAATTTTGGTTTAAAAAAATGGTGACCCGTTCGCAGCACACTGTATGCACACGCGATTAGTCAATAGTAATTTAATACTCTAGTTACATGTTATGCTGAAAGCAATATAATCACACAAATCTATCCTGCAATAGTCTGCGATCAATGCAGAATAAATTCAGCAAAGCATCGTGCGCATGGCTTCATTTTCACCTGCTCGTTTTCCGGAATTTGTGAAGAGAAACTAAAATGGCGCCATCTAACTCTCATCATCTCGGTCTCAACCGAATCCAATGCACCGCCACGCACGAAACTGAAGTGCTCTTTCGCCGTGCAGAATATGGGGGCATCTTTCTCAAAGACAATGTCTTAAGAATAATGCGTTTTCGGTGCTGGAAAACGTACCATCTGCCCTTCGAGCAACAATAACAGATTATGCCAGGGGATAATCTGCGCACACCATCGGAAGTCATTCAAAAATATGACTTCGCAACTCTCGACTCCAACCCAAGCAAAGCTTGTTGTAGCAGGATTGCTGAACGTGTCATAAATAACGCTCAGTGGATCAAGAATAAAAGTCTTTCCACAATTAGATGGCCCTGTTATTAGAACGTTCCGATATTTGCCCCTCCCTTGCTCGAGTAATAAACGTATAGCGCCCACAAACTCGGTCACGTCGATGTTGTTTCGCATCAGTATATCTCGTGCAAGTTCCAGCCATCTCTTGTCGCAATTTGGGATGCACTCTCCTTGAAAGGCAGCTTCGAGACGTTTCAAACGACTTTGTTGCAATCGCGCTAACAGTCTCGGTGCTTCGTTTAATTCCCATCCCACTCGGATTGCTTCATCGACCGTTTTGGCACCTCTATTTGCTATAAATTGAGCCAAGTCGGTTTTACCTTCCCTTTGCTGTTGCTGGGCAAATGCTAGAAGCTGAAGACGAGACCTAATTTTTTTGCTTACCACCAGTTGGGACACTTCGTAGACACTCATTTGACGTTTACGGCCTTTTCCCTTCGTACTTCGTCCCGTTGTTCGACCTGTTGCTCCTCTGCGTACAGCCTCGGTTGCTCGTGTGGTTTGAGGAGGTTGAGCATTGGTAAGATCGGGATGACCCTCGGATTGAATATACTCTATATCTTCTTTTGTCGTGTAACTCCAAGCCGAAAAGTAATTGTCATGACGATTAGAAAAGTTAACATTAATACCGTGCTGCGCCCGAATATAATTCCTTACTCTTAACCATCTATGCCTTTCCGACAATTTCACGGTCATGTGAAAATGAAATCCGGATTGTGCATGGTCTTCTTTGGCACATACCCATTGAATAACTTGCATATTACAAGATGTGAATGCATTCTGAATTACAGTCGCGAAACTTTCACGCGTTGGACACAAATCTACGTTCACTTGATTATACGTAATTAAATAAACACGTCTGGCTTGGCGACTACGAAGCGATTCGTTTTGCATTATGTGTGTATAGTTTTTGATTAAATGGATGTTTTTAAAATACACACGTCTCTATATTACGTTACTATCTGCTTAACGAGTTGCGAGCCGGTCATGCTTACTTTAGTGCTTATGTCAGTTAGCAAATTACTTCACAATTTTCGTTAATTAAGGGCCCGTTAAGCAATTTTTATGCCATGCCTATGTTTTTTACCAACAAACATGCATTTTATTGCCACATATATAAAATTGTACCATTAATATAATACTTCAACAAATGTAATAATTTTTCATCGTGTTCCGTTACATTTCTCTACGTTTAATCGTGATAAAAGAACTTGACAAAGTGGTAGTCTATTAAAAACTGTACTTATTAATCGTCTGCATTCCAAACATTCCCGCTCAAGACAATCTTATGCAAAATTAACGAGACACTACATACTCCCGCACCCTGTTTCAATGTTGGGTAGTGATGGTTTTCACTATTCGAGGTGTTAGTCTTCATTAACTGTTAAAATACAACATTGAGATAGGGGGAAGGGGGATCAACATTGAAAACTCATGGTGGCACATATTATATTGCATGGGATTGTAGGTCCTTATTGCTTAAACCAATCTGAAGAAAGGCCTTCTGGATATCAGCAAGGATAATGTGTGGACTCATTCGCGCTCTTATCAAGACGTCCCACAATAATGTTTGTAATGATGGTCCGGTATGCATACATTCGTTCACACTGTTCGCTAATGGGTCGGGCGCTTGCATTAAATACCATTCTTACCTTTGAACTACTTGCTTGCTCTCTAACCACAGGTTTATGAGGGAGGTAAAACACGCGGGGTCCTGTTGGTTGGGCAGGTACTGGCTCGATAATCTTGTTCTCTAGCTGGTCTTTCACAATCGCTTCATAAGTTTCTCGTAGTTCTTTGTCATGAGTTAGCTTTCGCTCTATGTTCTTCAATCGTTTTCGACTTGGTTCCTCGTTAGTGTTCACAAGTTCTGCTCCCGGTATCCACGGTACGCAAACCTCGTATCTTCCATCGCTTCACATTGTGATGTTTTCTTTGAACTCTCGATAGACATCAAGTTGATCGTCTTCAGCACGGTCTTCTATCCCTAGCACGTTTAAGGAGTACAAGCGCTCATAATCACTCTTTTCTTGAACGAACATACACCTACCCCGTCTGCATACTCCTTGCCGCCATGCACAATCCAACCGAAGGTAGTCCCCTCTACGATTGGGTCATTCGGATCACCTTTGATGACATCCTCAGTCTTGATCTGGCAGTAGAAGGCATCTCCCAGTATCACATGAATCTGGTATTCCTCGATTGGGGTTCTGTAAAAGGATTTCTCTCTTACGTGTGGGTACCTTTCTTTCACATCTGCTATTGTTGGCCGCTTAACTGTGGTGAAATCCATCATTCTACTTCCTGTCAGTTCAATCGATTTGTTTGCACTTCCATCAACAGATTCGATTTTGACATCGAACACTGGCATTGATTGCTTCTTCGTTCCATTAATGGTTAAAATGTTATGTGTCTCATGTCGCTTTGGCTTTAATTTCAGCTTATCTGTCGCTTCCTTCGAAACAAAATTCCTCCCAGAGCCAGTGTCTAAGTATGCCCATAAAGTCACTCCCTGAATTTTAATTGGAATAATAGCAGGAAGGGATTTCTCTTCTTCCACAGGTGAGAAACCGTTTAAGATTTCCTCATTCTTAGACTCCCTGTTGCACAGACTGGTGTGATGTCTTGCTTTGCACTTGTAACAAACTCTCCCTCGGCATTTGTTTTCTCTGTGTCCTGATCGCCCACAATTGAAGCAAAGATGTTTTTGTGAAAAGAACTGCCGTCGTTTCTCAAGGGTGTCGTAAACTGGAAAGCCATTGCATCCAAATATACAATGGGGCCCCCGAGGGCGTTGACCTCCTTCATTATCTTGCCCAAAAAAATTGTGCTCTCGCTTCTTTTCTACTGTCTCTTTAACAGTTTCTGACTGGTTTCTCTTCAACCACCCTTGAAGTGCCTTTATCAAATTCTCCATCCCCCATTCTTCCCACTGCTCATCTGTCCTCACCAAGTCAGCTTTGATGTTGGGCAATTTATTCAATGTGGGTAGAACAAATCCCTTTAACATGCTTCCCTCCTCCAGGGTTTGTAATGCATCATAACTCTTGCTTAGGGATTCATAAAATGCATGCACCTTGCTGTAGCTTGACCCTTTCACAGCTGGTAGGTTAATTATTTGTTCTACATGAGCTGCAATCACAGTTTTAATCTGTCCGAATTCATCCTTCAGTCTGTCCCATGCAGTTTGATAACCTGTCTCTCCTGGTTTGAGGTTTGCAAATCGATTTCTAATTTTGGGATCAACCAATTCCAGCAAGTACCCAAATTTCTCTTCTGCAGAAATTGGTTTCTTATCTACTGGTGTCTTAAACATATTCTCGAACCTTATCCAATCTTCTCGGGTCCCTCTAAATGGAGTTATTTTTAGCTCTGGCAATTTTGATCGTCCTACCTTTGCGAGAGTCTCCATTTCTAACTTTTTCTTGGTCATTTTGATCTCAGCCTTCAGTCTCTCCTCCCAAAGTGCTTTCTCTCTCTCTTGTAACTCAGCTGTAAAGCGTTTTTTTTCAATGTTTTCCAATACTTCGTTAATCTTCTCTTTCTTCTCCAACAAAGGTGCAAAACTTGCTTTCAAATCCTTTTTCCATTGTCTTATCGCTCTTTGCGTTGTGGTTCCCGAATCTAATTTTAGCTCTTGAACATGTGATATAAGATCATTTAGCTCGTCCCGAATCTGGTCAGTTCTTTTAGAAGCAATTCGCAACTCGTTTATGTCGTTATCCTCAATCAATTCTTCTGCTTCCTCAAGATAATACTTAAGTTTATCGATTGCTTTAGTTATTTTACTGTCCATCAGATTTGATAACAGGTCTGACTGAATCACTTGTGCTTGGTTTCGTTTCTTCTACATCACTCATGTTGTTATACATGAAATACAACTATTTCGTCAATTTATTCGTAAATCCTGGTCACGGCACCACTAAATGTATGGAACTTTGTTGGTACAAAAAAGCTCTTTCTCAATTTCTTAATATTTATTCAAACAAAATCAAAAATATACAAATTTTATAAAATTAAAAGGTCTTTCTACAATTTCTCGCTCACTCTGTTCTCAGTACGTTTCTCTATATTTTTCTTTGGTGTTTCCACTTTCAATTAATTCAGTTTATTCAAAATTAACTCAATTTCCGCTCACTGGGACTGGGCCGTTTTTGCACAGTGGACCATGTCTTAGTGGGCTGTCTCTAGCAGTAAAGCACTATCTGAGCAAAGCGAGCCTGGTGGATCCCCTACCTTCAAGTACTGGTGGAACTTTCCTTGTAATTTGCAATGCAATTATAATTTTAAGGGTTGTTAATTAGTAATGAGTGTTGTAAATGCTAAGAAAACGTTAGCAGATCGTATGAAATATTCGTACTGTATTCGACAACTTTAGATGCCTCAGGAGTAGAATTGCATTGTAAGTTGCAAGGAAAGTTGCATTGTTGTAACACCGCCTTAAATTTCAGTAGATGTTGATTTGTAGTGCCTCCAAACCTGTCATGCTTTGTTTTGAGCATTGTGAATATTATAGAAAATCGATCTGCGTTTACCTATATATGTAAACGCAGATCGAGTTTATGATATGACTCAAGTTTGATATCTAAGTGAAATGGGGCATCTTGCATCCATAAGTTGAGAAAACGTGCATCATGGCATATAATCTAGGTTTCTTTGGCTCAACTGTCAACAGTAGTACTAGATGTGGAGCAGAGGTCTCTCGTTCACGTCCCACTAGTGAGATGGCACTCATTTGGATTCGTTCCAATAAAGTTTTGCGAATGAATTCTGAAAAGGGGCGGCAAGAAGGTTTATTTCAAAATTGGGCAGGTGGAGGAAGAGCTGTATCATAAAATTGTCCCTTAAGTTACCCCGTAGTAGTCAGCCTTAAAGTAGTCAGTAATGGAAACTTTTTTCCTTATCCAATTCAAAACTTGGAGTTGTTGTGGGCTTTGGGACCTGATCAAATAGCTTTTCCGATTCAGCAACATTGTTGTGTAACTCACCGGCACGAAAGTGAGTAGAGTCCCTAATTTTAAATTGTGAAGTGATACCACATGCTCCCCATGAATGATCTCGTTGGAACACAGTCATTGGGCGAGTCGACACATCGCAGGCAGCGTGGTGGCAGCTGCGCCTTAGCTAGATGATTTTCGTCAAAAGTAGGATCAAACTCCCACTCCTATGCTAACGAAGATGAAGCCTAAAGCAAATATGACAATTAGAATAAAGCAACGCAGCTGTGAAGTAAAAACAACCATGCAGCCCTACGGACCAGCAGAGGGAGACAACTGTGAACCAGCATGGCATGAGAGTTGATTTAGATGCTCTGTTTTCACAGTTGCCACACCCGGCAAGCTGTATAACCAGAAGGAGAAATAAAACATAATACAGCAGAGAAGAAATCCATAAATGAACGCAATTGTATATGATATCTTTATTATAGCCTGTACTAGCGAGCTATATACAACAACAGAAGATGACACAACAACGAAAAACAGGCAAATACACTGATTTATTTACTTTAAATCACTTGAGTAGACGAGTCACGATCTTTTTCTTGCTTTAGTTTAAAACACGTGGCCTTTTTCCATCCATCAAGAAGATACTCAAAATGTTGTGTCAAAACTGCACAAAATACAGTTTTACAAAATCTACTTTTTTATCAACTGCACAAATTTATTGTTATAGCACGTTAGAATAGAATAGACCATGCAGAGATGTATTAGAAAGTTTTTTGATGTTTCATTTTCCACTTGTCGCACAGACATCTTAATTTTACAGATCCATCAATTTCTTAAATAAGGCTACCATCAATCTTATTTTTTGTCCTTCAGCCAAAACTCCTAAAACTGAAACTTAGCCAAAGTACCTAAAACTGAAGAATCGGAACTTAAAAAAAAAATGAAGGAAGGGAAGGTAACACAGTAGCAGAATTCATCAAACACTTAACCTGGAACTGCATGCAGACACATGTGTTGCACCAGTATCACATCCAACTCCAAAACCTGCTGTTGCCCAGGCTTTTGATCAATGTATTGTGTACTGCAAAGACCGAACATTTCTGAACCAGTTGAGATATTGCGATGTGCCCAAAAGTTTATTCTTAAGGGAAAGCCACTGAATTATACTGGTATCCCAGACAAATTTCATGATGACAGTCGAATTTCATCCTCATCAGTCATGATGTGGTTGGGACAGCATTCAAAGAAATATCATCTTTGGAAGACATTCAGTTGATTTTTGAAGTTTCTTTTTATGGCAAGTGTGCCCAAGATGCTGGAGGGCCCAGAAGGGAATTTTTCAGATTGTGCATTCAAGATATAAGGTGTAGATACTTTGAAATGTCTGAAAGAACATTTGCTGAGGATTAAGTTATGGTCTCATCATGGCTCTCAGTGTTTTACAAAATGGGAAAATGCCAAGATTCCAGACTGATGAGCAACTTTAGGCTGTTTTTGGGAATCAACTGTGCTAAAACAACTGCCTAAAATAGACAAAACATTTCGACCTGAGGGCCTTCATCAGAAGAGTTAGTATGAGAATAAATAGGAGAGAATACATGTTTTGTATGGGGGTAAAACACATGATAAAATATGTCCAACAGAAAAGAAAAAATCAAAACAAATTGGAACACATTGCATTGCCAAAGAGACGCCCGATTGTCCGCAATGAGGAAAGCCTGATCAGCAACGAAAATATATTACAACCAGCTTTGATTTAAACAAAGAAATGGAAGTCGTATTACTCGTACGAAAATATATTACAACCAGCTTTAATTTAAACAAAGAAATGGAAGTCGTATTACTCGTACGAATGAGTTTGAATGAAAGAGTCTTTCATTTATGCTGGAGGGATGAGGAGTTCCAAGACTGTGGATGAGTCGCATTTCGTGTTGTTTACGGTTATCGTTAGTACCGAAAATGGGACAGAGGGCTCTAATTCTCATGTCTTGTACACAATGATTACCAGAAGTAAAGTGTCTGGCGACCTTACCCTTACAGATCTTCCAGTTTCACCTATATATAGTAAACCACATTTGTTGCATGAGATGTAATGAGGTTGGAGGGGAGGCATATGTGAAATAGTGCCTGATGAAAAACTATGAATTGGGAGCCAAAAGTGCTGGAATCAGTAAATGAGCATGTTTTACATTGCCAATGCCACATGGGAATGTGCCATTGGGCTCTGAACAGTTTTGCTGTAGAGAGCTATGAACCAATGTGTCCCGGATATTTTTTGTTGTGCTGAAAAGAGACTAGGGGGTTGTCAGTGAAAATGGAAGATGTCTCAGGATCATTCTGCAAGAATCTGCAAGAAAATTCCTAAGTATGACATTCCAAACAGCAAAATTGAAGGGATGATGTGTTTGAACTAGGGGGTAGAATTAATGCTAGGGGTGGTAGAATTAATGCTAGGGGTGGTAAAGACAAGGTCTCTAAGGGTGTCTAAGCGGGAAATGTCGGATGCTTTAGATAAGGCAGTGTCAGTAAGTGAGGAGCGATAGCTGCGCTCAACAAAGAGTACTCATCTCCAGACTTTGGATCAGTGGTCATCATCTTCGATGCAAAGGCGGTGGAGACAAAGGAATTGTGAGAAAGGAATAGATGGGGTGGAAAGAAGAATATAAGATGTAGCTATGGGAGCTTGTAGAACACTGAGGTAGTGAGCCTATTGCCATTGATGGCAACCAGGAATGATATACATCTAAGAATGATATACTGGTCTCACTGATCTTCCATGTGAATTGGAGTGCTGGATGAAATTAATCAACAAATTTGATAAATTTCACCATGGTACCCTCAATGTACCTTCCCAGAGCCATTTTAGTTCCCATTGCTACACTGCTTATCTGTTGGTAATGCTCACCATCAAAGGAAAAATTGTGGAGTGAGCACTAATTCTGCTAATCTGACCAAAACAGTAGTCAACGGTTCCTGAAGTGGGGCGTTTGTCCAAAAAAAACGGTGTATAAGGATTTGACATCCATTGTGAAAATGAATTTGTGGGATGATTGAAAACGAATGTTGTTGATGATTTGAAGAGCATGTTTGGTATCCTTGATATAGGATAGTAAATCCCTTACGAAGGGTGCCCATGACATGGTCTAGAAGACTGGAAATGTGTTCGGTGGGACAACCACAAGCAGACACAATGGGTCTTCTGGGTTGTTGAGTTGGGGATTTTGGGGAGAAAGTAGATGACAGGAGTGCGAGGGGTGTTGGTGAGGAGGTTGAGTGAAGATTGTGGAAGTTCACCACTCACCACTAGAGACCAGTTGATGAACAGTGGATCGAACAATGGATTGGTGATGGGATGTCAAGGGGTGGGCACGGTTCCTCACTGGCTGTACCACAATACCATTTACACAGTGTGATGTTTCGCTGCCACTCAGCGTTTCTTCTAGTCGGTCAATATTATCAAATGCCAATGTCGTAGGGACACCGGGATGAATGCTAGATGGTAGGGAATCGCCACTTTTAAGCTTTTCTAGGCACAATGCTGTTTCAATTTCTTCCAGTTTTGAACATGAAACTCCATGTCCCAGCCTGTTTAACAGTTTTATTACTTCCACATTTCCAGTAAGTGATTTTACCAATGAAGTAATATATGCTGGCAAGCCAATCATTGAATGTTGAATATAATTATTGAATGTTGAATATAATCATTAAATGTTGAATAAGATCGTTCAATGTTGAATATAATTATTGAACGTTGAATATGATTGTTGAATGTTGAATATAATTATTGAATGTTGAATATTGAATGTTGAATATAATTGTTGAATGTATTTTGTGAACGTTGAACATGATC